ATCAAAAAATATAACATATGAACTAGTACGGTAACTAATGTTAACAAATGAAGAAACTAAGATTAACTAAAATTTTAATCATTATTAACTAATGCATTAACTAGATTTACTAATATAATAACTAGTAATCAGAATTCACTAATAAAATAAATATGAATTAATATGGCAATTAACATGAACTAATTTCATAGTTAATATTAATTAATATAATGCAGTAACATCAACTAAAATAGTAATTAAGACTTAAATATAATAACTAAAAATAACTAATATAGTAATAAAGATCCACCAATATAAAAACTAATATGACATAATATGGTAATGAACAATAATAAATATATTAAGATTTAATAAGTAATATGTAGTAATATGGTAACTGACATTAACTAAAATAGTAATTAAGATGTACTCATAATAACTAATATGAACTAATCTGTTAACTAACGACGAACATGAGCTGAAGGAAAACTAATGAATGAAGTTAATGGGAAATGTGAAAAGATTAATCATTACTGTAACAGTCAAGAGCCATGTGCTTATGTGAAGTAACATAAAAAACAAAATAAATAATAATAATAATAATAATAATAACAACAACAACAACAACAACGATAACAACAACAACGATGATAACAACAACAACAACGATAACAACAACAACAACAACAACAACTATAATAATAATAATAATAATAATAATAATAATAATAATAATTAAAAAACAATTATTATTATTTTTATTATTATTATTATTATTATTATTATTATTATTATTATAGTTATTATGACGACTATTATTGTTGTTGTTGGTTGTTGTTGTTTTGTTGTTATTACATTATTATTAGTAGTACTATGACATGAACATAAAAGTAAACCCTACATGCATTACATGAACACAATATTGACTAACATCCGTTTTTAAAACAATGTATGATGTTGGTAATGGCAATCTACTTTACAAAAATGTAAAATATAGTTATGAACTCACCCTTTACAGTGAGTGTAACAGAGTTACTGTATTGTGATGATGTTGGTCTGTAATGTCGCACTCCTATACACTGATACTGATCTCCATTATTCACAGCATCTTCTCTGATGGTGAGAGAGTCTCTGTTTACAGTGTAATACACAGACCGAGACACTGGAGTCCATCTACTCCATGTATCCTGTTTATACCACTGATACGTCCATCCATCATAAGTGATAATCTCACACTTCAGAGTGACTGACTCTCCTCTGAACACAGGACTCTCTGGTTTTACTGTCAGTGTAGATTTGGGTAGATCTACAGAAAGAAGAGAACAGCAGTGCAGATTCAGAGTATTTGGAGTCAATTCCAATAATGCAAGTTTCCAGTCTGGGTGTCTGATGCCTCCTGCTCTGCACAATTTGGTGTTTTCCTGTTTACACTCTTCAGCTCACTAAGGGCTTGTTAATTAGTTGAGTAGATGGATCAGTCAGAGCAGGGGTTCTCCAGGAACAGAGTTAAGAACCACTGCGTTAATGAAAAATAAATAAATAAACCAAACATCTGGTCTCATCTGTGTTGCTGTGATACTGAGGTTAATGAACACTGAAGAGATGATCACACTCACCTGATACAGTCAGTGTAACAGCATCACTGGTGTGTGAGTAGCGTGATGTTCCTCTCTCTGTTCCTCTACAGGTGTATTTTCCTCTGTGAGACTCTGTAACAGAGCTGATACTGTACTGCTGTTCATTACTGACAGGAGTGTCTGAATCATCTTTAAACCAGCTGTACTGCCAGTTAGAGACACCTTCTCCCTGTATGACACATCTGAGAGTGACAGTCTCTCCTATAAACACCTGTTCATCAGGTTGTATGGACAACACAGCTTTTGGTCTCTCTGTGAAAACAAAATAAAATAAACTCAGAACAATTCATTCTGATTTAGTTTTTTCATATCTATACACAAATTAAGGAAGGATTTTTTTAAACAGTAGCACACAGAACACATCTCCACACTGTTCAGTGCACTAAAGATTGTTTTCTTAGATAAATGTATTCATTTATTACTAGTAATGTTGCTTTAAAAATAAACTCCTGAAGTGCACGAGGCCCAGTACAGCTTTAGACTGGTACGGCTGCTTTCAGATGTACTGCAGGTGCTAAAGTCATCTTCATAAGTGGTGTAACTGAAAGAGCAGCACCACACACTGTATTTTAGTTGTAACTGAAATAAATGATCAGCAATCAGAGAATCAGCATGAATGTTTTTTCATTAATCACATTTTTACAGATTTACACAGTAATCAATGATAGTGATACAGTGATAAATGAGAAAATACAGTATACACTGTTTGATAACTACAACAAGGTACTCAACGTAAAGATTATGTATGCAATTAATGCAATTAATCACTCATTATTTATATATTGATTAACTGTTCATTAAGTGCTCCAGCACCCCACCGCGACCCAGAAGGATAAGCAGTTTAGATGATGTGTGTGTGTGTGTTCTTTAAGCGTTAGTTATTACTTAGTGACTAAGTTTTTAGTCAAATTTAAATGAGTGCACTGTTGATAAGACTGATAATTTAGTTATACTCATTAACTGTCTACTGACTGTGTACTAACTGCAGCTTATTACACTGATAATGAACAGAAAAGGTGTTTACTCATATAAACAAATGGCATGAGAACTAATTAGCAATTATGAGTCTAGTCTCATTAGTCATCTGTTAATTAATCTACCGATGACAAAACTTTACAATACAGGTCCTTAGTAACCCAGTAACTGTGTGCAAAAATCATAAACCAACATATGAATTACTTGTAACAAATAACTTCGTGTTTATTACTAATAAGAGAATATGAGAAGGAAGTATTTGTCCTCACAGTAAATGTCAAATGAATCACATTTACACACTCTCAGAAAAAAAAGGTGTGAACCTGTCACTGGGGCAGTACCCCTCTTGTCACTCATTGAAATTATATTTTCTAAGTTGTACTGTCTTCGCCCACCCCGTCTCGTCTCCAGGCTTTTTATCTTATTGTTCTGGTTTATAACATTAGGTTTTGAAAAGGTACAAATATGTACTTTTCACCTGAGACAAACTTATTTCAGGTACACAATTCGACAGTAAAACCACTGTTGTACCTTTGAGGTATATTCACATTGTTTGTACCTTGATGAATGAAAAACCTGAAGTACCTGCACTCAACCTTTATTTCTAACAGTGCAGAATAGTTGAACTAACACAGTAACTAAAATGAAATAATATAGTAAATATGACTAATCAATATAGTAAATAAGATTAACTGATGTACTAAGATTAACTAATAAAATAACTAAGATCAAAAAATCTAACATATGAACTAATGCGGTAACTAATGTTAACAAATGAAGAAACTAAGATTAACTAAAATTGTAATCATTATTAACTAATGCATTAACTAGATTTACTAATATAATAACTAGTAATCAGAATTCACTAATAAAATAAATATGAATTAATATGGCAATTAACATGAACTAATTTCATAGTTAATATTAATTAATATAATGCAGTAACATCAACTAAAATAGTAATTAAGACTTAAATATAATAACTAAAAATAACTAATATAGTAATAAAGATCCACCAATATAAAAACTAATATGACATAATATGGTAATGAACAATAATAAATATATTAAGATTTAATAAGTAATATGTAGTAATATGGTAACTGACATTAACTAAAATAGTAATTAAGATGTACTCATAATAACTAATATGAACTAATCTGTTAACTAACGACGAACATGAGCTGAAGGAAAACTAATGAATGAAGTTAATGGGAAATGTGAAAAGATTAATCATTACTGTAACAGTCAAGAGCCATGTGCTTATATGAAGTAACATAAAAAACAAAATAAATAATAATAATAATAATAATAACATTATTATTATCATTATTATTATTATTATTATTATTATTATGACTATTATTGTTGTTGGTTGTTGTTGTTTTGTTGTTATTACATTATTATTAGTAGTACTATGACATGAACATAAAAGTAAACCCTACATGCATTACATGAACACAATATTGACTAACATCCGTTTTTAAAACAATGTATGATGTTGGTAATGGCAATCTACTTTACAAAAATGTAAAATATAGTTATGAACTCACCCTTTACAGTGAGTGTAACAGAGTTACTGTACTGTGATAATGTTGGTCTGTAATGTCGCACTCCTATACACTGATACTGATCTCCATTAATCACAGCATCTTCTCTGATGGTGAGAGTGTCTTTGTTTACAGTGTAAAACACAGACCGAGACACTGGAGTCCGTCTACTCCATGTATCCTGTTCATACCACTGATACGTCCATCCATCATAAGTGTTAATCTCACACTTCAGAGTGACTGACTCTCCACTGAACACAGGACTCTCTGGTTTTACTGTCAGTGTAGATTTGGGTAGATCTACAGAAAGAAGAGAACAGCAGTGCAGATTCAGAGTATTTGGAGTCAATTCCAATAATGCAAGTTTCCAGTCTGGGTGTTTGATGCCTCCTGCTCTGCACAATTTGGTGTTTTCCTGTTTACACTCTTCAGCTCACTAAGGGCTTGTTAATTAGTTGAGTAGATGGATCAGTCAGAGCAGGGGTTCTCCAGGAACAGTTAAGAACCACTGCGTTAATGAAAAATAAATAAATAAACCAAACATCTGGTCTCATCTGTGTTGCTGTGATACTGAGGTTAATGAACACTGAAGAGATGATCACACTCACCTGATACAGTCAGTGTAACAGCATCACTGGTGTGTGAGTAGCGTGATGTTCCTCTCTCTGTTCCTCTACAGGTGTATTTTCCTCTGTGAGACTCTGTAACAGAGCTGATACTGTACTGCTGTTCATTACTGACAGGAGTGTCTGAATCATCTTTAAACCAGCTGTACTGCCAGTTAGAGACACCTTCTCCCTGTATGACACATCTGAGAGTGACGGTCTCTCCTATAAACACCTGTTCATCAGGCTTTATGGACAACACAGCTTTTGGTCTCTCTGTGAAAACAAAATAAAATAAACTCAGAACAATTCATTCTGATTTAGTTTTTTTCATATCTATACACAAATTAAGGAAGGATTTTTTTAAACAGTAGCACACAGAACACATCTCCACACTGTTCAGTGCACTAAAGATTGTTTTCTTAGATAAATGTATTCATTTATTACTAGTAATGTTGCTTTAAAAATAAACTCCTGAAGTGCACGAGGCCCAGTACAGCTTTAGACTGGTACAGCTGCTTTCAGATGTACTGCAGGTGCTAAAGTCATCTTCATAAGTGGTGTAACTGAAAGAGCAGCACCACACACTGTATTTTAGTTGTAACTGAAATAAATGATCAGCAATCAGAGACTCAACATGAATGTTTCGTTATAGTACTTTTCTTTTTCATTAACCATTGAGGTATATTCACATTGTTTGTACCTTGATGAATGAAAAACCTGAAGTACCTGCACTCAACCTTTATTTCTAACAGTGCAGAATAGTTGAATAATTCAGTAACTAAAATGAAATAATATAGTAAATATGACTAATCAATATAGCAAATAAGATTAACTGATGTACTAAGAATAAATTGTAAAGTTACCAAAATCAATAAATATATTAAGTTTTATAAACTAATATGGTAACTAATGTGAACTGATGAAGTAACTAAGATTAACTAATAAAGTAACTAAAATAAAAAATATAATAATTTATTTGAACTAAAATGGTAACTAATGTTAGCAAATGAAGAAACTAAGATTAACTAAAATCGTAACTATTATTAACTAATGCATTTAATTGAAGATTTACTAATATAATACTAATAATTATTAATATAGTAATTAAAATTCACTTATAAAATAAATATGAATTAATATGGCAATTAACATTAATTTCATAGCTAATATTAATTAATATAACGTAGTAAATAACATCAACTAAAATAGTAATTAAGACTTACAAACATAATAACTAAAAATAACTAATATAGTAATAAAGATCCACCAATATAAAAACTATAATATGGTAATCAACAATAATGAATATATTAAGATTTAATAAGTAATATGTAGTAATATGGTAACTGACATTAACTAAAATAGTAAATAAGATGTACTAATATAACAATTAATATGAACTAATCTGTTAACCAACCACGAACATGAGCTGAAGGAAAACTAATGAATGAAGTTAATGGGAAATGTGAAAAGATTAATCATTACTGTAACAGTCAAGAGCCATGTGCTTATATGAAGTAACATAAAACAAACAAAATAAATAATAATAATAATAATAATAATATAATAAAATAACAATAACATAACATACAATAACAACAACACTATAATAATGATAATAATAATAATAATAATAATTAAAAAACATTATTATTATGTTATTATGTTATTATGACGACTATTATTGTTGTTGTTGTTGTTGTTTTGTTGTTATTACATTATTATTAGTAGTACTATGACATGAACATAAAAGTAAACCCTACATGCATTACATGAACACAATATTGACTAACATCCGTTTTTAAAACAATGTATGATGTTGGTAATGGCAATCTACTTTACAAAAATGTAAAACATAGTCATGAACTCACCCTTTACAGTGAGTGTAACAGAGTTACTGTACTGTGATAATGTTGGTCTGTAATGTCGCACTCCTATACACTGATACTGATCTCCATTAATCACAGCATCTTCTCTGATGGTGAGAGAGTCTCTGTTTACAGTGTAATACACAGACCGAGACACTGGAGTCCATCTACTCCATGTATCCTGTTCATACCACTGATACGTCCATCCATCATAAGTGTTAATCTCACACTTCAGAGTGACTGACTCTCCACTGAACACAGGACTCTCTGGTTTTACTGTCAGTGTAGATTTGGGTAGATCTACAGAAAGAAGAGAACAGCAGTGCAGATTCAGAGTATTTGGAGTCAATTCCAATAATGCAAGTTTCCAGTCTGGGTGTTTGATGCCTCCTGCTCTGCACAATTTGGTGTTTTCCTGTTTACACTCTTCAGCTCACTAAGGGCTTGTTAATTAGTTGAGTAGATGGATCAGTCAGAGCAGGGGTTCTCCAGGAACAGAGTTAAGAACCACTGCGTTAATGAAAAATAAATAAATAAACCAAACATCTGGTCTCATCTGTGTTGCTGTGATACTGAGGTTAATGAACACTGAAGAGATGATCACACTCACCTGATACAGTCAGTGTAACAGCATCACTGGTGTGTGAGTAGCGTGATGTTCCTCTCTCTGTTCCTCTACAGGTGTATTTTCCTCTGTGAGACTCTGTAACAGAGCTGATACTGTACTGCTGTTCATTACTGACAGGAGTGTCTGAATCATCTTTAAACCAGCGGTACTGCCAGTTAGAGACACCTTCTCCCTGTATGACACATCTGAGAGTGACGGTCTCTCCTATAAACACCTCTTCATCAGGCTGTATGGACAACACAGCTTTTGGTCTCTCTGTGAAAACAAAATAAAATAAACTCAGAACAATTCATTCTGATTTAGTTTTTTCATATCTATACACAAATTAAGGAATGATTTTTTTTAAACAGTAGCACACAGAACACATCTCCACACTGTTCACTGCACTAAAAGATCTTTTTCTTAGATAAATGTATTCATTTATTACTAGTAATGTTGCTTTAAAAATAAACTCCTGAAGTGCACGAGGCCCAGTACAGCTTTAGACTGGTACGGCTGCTTTCAGATGTACTGCAGGTGCTAAAGTCATCTTCATAAGTGGTGTAACTGAAAGAGCAGCACCACACACTGTATTTTAGTTGTAACTGAAATAAATGATCAGCAATCAGAGACTCAACATGAATGTTTTTTCATTAATCACATTTTTACAGATTTACACAGTAATCAATGATAGTGATACAGTGATAAATGAGAAAATACAGTATACGTTGTTTGATAACTACATTAAGGGTCTCAAAGTAACAGCATTAATCTTAGCCGCTGTTTGAGATTCTGCTGTATGTAATGTGGCGGTTTGCCAGAGGTGGGATTAGAACCAAGGCCGTCTGGTTGGTATTTCAGAAGCCAACCGGTGAGCCACCACATGGTTTTGGAAGGCAGCACCCAAACGCTAAGCTTCTATGCGACTGGAAGTTATTATTAAAATTATATATTAAACCGCGGATGCCGGGGCTCGAACCCACGCCGCCGCGTTAATAAACCGGCGCTCTACCACTATAGAGGCCGTGTCACGTGGTGCACGAAGGGTTCGCCTTAAAAGGGAACGCCGAAAACGGGTGGAAAACAAAACGAAGTATGAAAGCCCACCTACTAAGGATTGGGCGGGAACAAAACAAAGGACGCCAGGGGAAAGACTGGTTCTCTCAAACACTGAGGAAGTGATAACTGAAAAACCACTTTCCCAACAGAAAAGAATGCACGAAGGAGAACGAAAAGGAGAAAGGGGCAAAGTTGTCTTTGCAAACTTTTTTTTTAAAGGAAGAAGGACTCAACTCGAGAAGGGGGGATAGGCTCGAGAAGTGACAAAGAGAAAAGATGCTCGAGAGAAATTCTCTTAGAGCTTCTACCCGAGATTACCGGCCGTTCTGTTTGCCAGAACTCTGGAACAAAGACTCAGCAAAGTGTGTCTTCTTCCCAGCCCTTATAAAGCCCCCTGAGCAGGTGTGGCTCATTTGGGTCGTTGACTCCCCCTGGTGGCCGGCGGTGGCCTAGCCCTGGAGCCAACCCTTACAGTGTAAGGTCTGGCTGTGTCTGAGCTCATAAACAAGCTGCTGTGTATCATAAATAAGGAAAGAGCTGATTTCACAGTTTGCTGTGTCAGACAGCTGTGGAGAGGTGATGTGATCTGACAGCTAGTTTGTGTAACATTAATTGGGTGATGTTTGTCTGATTGTGTACTTCATACTTGTTTATCTGTTATTTGTTATTTGTTTCCTCTGTCTTTAAACCAACTAAGTATTATTGAGTATCTTTTAATGAATTGTTTCATGTTTTGAATTTACTTTTACTCATATTGAATACATTTTTAATGGTCTTTTTAATGATTATATTGTATGTAATCTGTGGTGTTAATGAGTAAATATGTTATTTTAAAGAGTGTGTAGCTGTATTTGTTATAATGATGTAGGCTAATGTTTTTTCTGTATAATTATTGAATGACCTCATCGTACTGTAGGTCTGCTTATGAAGATTTAATACTTTCATCATGAGCGAATAACATGGTTTTTCTTTGTTCTATTAGTAAATAATCTACTAGTCTATTCTGTACTGATTTCATTACAGTTTGGCACATTGTGCCACACATTAGTCATTAGTGTTACTAATAGTTAATTAATTAATTTAGTTAATCTATCATTTTGTCCTTTAGACTTATTAAACAGTAACTACTGCTCTCTACAAATTGCTGGGTTAAGCCTGTTTGGCCATTGTGTTGGGTTATTTCCACAGTGCTAGGTAGTTTTTGGATAGTGTTTGGATTAAACCAGCTGCTGGTTTAGTGACTGTATCTCAGTAAGATCATATGGTTCATTTTCAAATGATAGCAGCTCTGGTTAAAGTAGAGTCTATTGATTTGTTCCTCATCAGACAGCAGCACAGAGTCATAAAGTAAATTTCCATAAATTATAGACTTTTACCTTTTACCCTTCTTTTTTTGAGAGAACTCTATTATATTGTATTGTATTATAAACAGTATTAGGCTGTAGTGGACACCACCTGGATTCAGCTCAAAATCTGTTTGTTTCCAAGACCTCCTCAAACTCCAAAAGCTTAATAGCAGAGAGTTCTGGGCCGATTCTTGCTTACATCCGCGAGTGTTAGTTGACTTCTGGATAGATATTTGGCATGTGGGCCACAATTGGGTCAGAAGCTGGACAGCTGTGTAAGGTTTTGACACCTATCTACGTTTAGGGCCAATTCTGGCGTGAATGTGGATGAAGAGAGAGGGCCACACCTTTATGCTGAGGCAGATCAGTGCTCGATTGATTCACGCCTCAGTACTTAGTAGTCTGGCATGTCATAAGTGGCCCATTTCTGAAGTTACAGAAAACGCTTGTTGTTTAAGGGTTAAAACCCCCACTTAACAGATTTTCCCACCCAAGTTCGTTCATTTTAAATGGGCAAGACAGCAGAGGTTTGAAGAGAAGATAAATGGAAGAGGGCATTAAGAATGTAAATTATATACTTTTAAAACCACAGTTACATACATTAACATGACGCGTTATGTGTGAGTTTAGTTCAGTGAGATTAATTATTTCAAATTATAAGGTTACTGTATGGACAATGAAAGTTACAACTACAGCTAACAACACCTTTATGGCGTAGCACTTGAAAAGCACATGCTAACTATGTTAATAAAATGGCTATCAGCCAGGTTTCGTTATGTTACACTTAATTGCTATGTTGTAGTGGCTAATGTAAGAGTAATCCTTTTAAATGTTCAAAATAGTTTGCTAATGTTAGCTCACGGTTAGTGTGTTAGCTCTGAGCTGAAGCTTATGCGCTAGCTCCAAGCTAAAGTGCTAACGTTAGCTAACTTTTGTGCTTTTCGAAGTGGTATAGCGCGTTAGTTTGCAGATAGCACATTAGCCTAGGGTTTGCTCTGGGCTTGAGCGTTGTCTTGTGGCAGCAGTTGCAGGTCCTCTCATCTGCACATGCATCACCCTTCTGTGTGAATCAGTAGAACTACAAAACAGTATAAAAACCGCTGCTGTGGTTGTTAAACTGAGGCGATTTTCTGGTTCAAATGAAGGTTCATTGTCAGAAGTGCTTTATATTAGTTTGACCTGTAAGTTAGATCATTTAGAATTTTAGGAACGTTCATATGTGCTACATTTTTATATTAGAACAAATATTTTGAAAAGTTTATTATTATTATTATTATTATTATTATTATTATTATTATTGTTGTTGTTGTTGTTATTAAGGCCACTAAATATCTGTCACTATTTAATATTTTAAATACTTATTAGTCTTATTAGCCTTATTAGACCCAAACTTATGTTACAATATTATATATAACTATAGATTATGTATGAATGAACGAAAAACATAATATTATTATATTACTTAAGTCCTTGCTTCTAATTTTTCAAGGAAAAAATGTAGCTTTTTTTAACTTGTGTATTCACTAGCCATTGTATGGCGTTTATCTACCATAGAACAAAACATCTCTGTTTTGTGTATTTGCTTTTGTGCATTAATAATTTTTGTACTTTGAAAATGTTTACAATTGTGATGCAGAAATAAACAGTTTGACTACCTTCTAAATATTTTTCTTTCTGTTTTGTTTAAGAGATTCTGAACACTATAAAAAAAGATTTTTTTTACAGACACTGACCATAAATAATACAGATTTTTTTCTGTATTTTTCATTATAAGAGTATATACCTGTAAAATACAGGAAAATCTGTATTATTTATGGTCAATATCTGTAAAAAAAAAAATAAATCTTAAAAAAAATCAATAATTCTGTCAGTCAGTTATTTTAAATTATAAGAATCCACCGTTTTTTAACATGGTTGTGCCATTTTTAAGAGTTTTGAGTTAATTTGGTAGTTATCGTTGTAAAAACATAGTTATCAGGGTAAAAACACAGTTATAAGTGTACAAATAGAGACCAATCAAGTTTTAAATTTTTTTCCTGCTGTGTTTATTTAAAAATACAGAACATTGTTTTTTTACGCATGTTTGCTGTAATTATAAGCAATAAACATAAAATTTAATGAAAATTAATTTACAGAACTGTCCTATAAAATTACTTTCAATACAGGGTAATAATAATATAACAACTCCATTGCCTATTGTAACGTAACAGTAATTTGTTGTTTTAAAACAGTAAATGTATGGTAAATTAATTTAAACTTCCATATTATCAACTGGTATACAGCATCAGACCAGATATTTTGATTAAAATTATGAGGTTTAAACAATTCAAATAACTGTCAAACCATTCAGTGATTCATATAATTTCTCTTTAAAACAGGCAGTGCATTGTGATATCAGCTCAAAGGTATATTACTTATTTTTTGTGGTTTCAAAACTTTAATTCTACCAAAATTAAAGTTTTGAAAACACAAAAATAGGTTTTGCAGATAGCTGTGTGTTCATTGGACAAAACTGTTGTTATGGTCTGTTCAGCCAATAAATATCCAGAATCCCTTGTTTGAATCTGAGCGGGAGCTGCTCCAGGAGAGCGTTGTTCACACTGACGCACACAGGAAGAAACCAGCCCGGCTGCCCCGAAGTCCCTGTTCACACCATGTCCTCCTGTTTAGCACTGAGGTGATGTCTTGGTTTTATTTTTTCACATCCCTGCTGCTTTGCTGCAGTAAAAACGGCTGACTTTGCATTTAGTTTCTTTATTACGAATAGCAGTCTTAGTATCAGTAAGCTAATAGTAGTAAGCTAACTAAAGTGATTTAGTGCACGCTGACAGGAGATTTAGCTAAGCTGACTAGCTAAGTGTCCGGATTTAA